GATGTACTGAATCTCACAAATACAATAGTGTTTACAAATAGCTGGAAATGTGCGTATTAACAGATTGAGAGATTTTTCAAAAAATTACATTTGTGTAATTTTTAAGGAAACAAACAATACCCCCAAATGAATTGTACGTCACGTTATATATATATATATATATATATATATATATATATATATATATATATATATATATATATATTGAAATAAATTATCTAAAATACAAAAGAACATTTTATTTACAAATCGAGGAAGACAGACATCGTCTTCTTCGTCACCACTCATGCAGTCCGCAACAAGTAATGATAACTCTGCAAAAGTAGATCCACATCTTATTGACTAGTAACGTAATGTGTAAAAGAATCAATAAAATGGGTTCAATAGTTTTTGAGAAAATTGGGGTATTTATTACAACAAAAAACTAAGTTTTGAGAAAAATGCTCTTTTACTACGAATTACCCATCATAATTTTTGTATTATTATACTTAAAAAATCCCGTGAATGCATAATTCATATTTCTCTTTATTGATGACAGATAGAAGCTGTTTTCTTTCCTTTTTTCCGACTTCTTTGGTTATTTTCTCAGCTAAGATCTCTACTTGAAGGGGGGGGGCGCTTGATGGGATCAATTCTGGTGTTAAGATTTTCAATACTTAAGGTATTTTCCGCATTAAACAAGTTGCTACCCTCAACATTATTTACTATTTAAACTATTTCCTTTGTTCACAAGATTTAAAAAAATACTTTTCTGTTTTGTCATTTCAGTTGAACTAGTTGACATTTTTTCATACACCATGATCTCCCAATACCTACCCCAAGAGTGAGAAAATAACATTTAACTTTAAAAACACGAAGCACCAAAAGTCCTGACAATTTGTGGAGATAAGCAAGATAACCAAAGATGAAACACAGCCTACGAGAGTAAATTAGTATAGGAAATATGTCTGTTTATGTGGAACCATAGAACATCTGAAACATCAGCCTGTACTGGTGCACATTCAAAACAACAACAAAAATGTATATTTAATTAAACATATTTCAATAAATAATACATCAAAATGTTAAGAAAAGCCCATAGTTTATTTTAAGATTAAAAACAAAAATTATATTATTTTCATTTTTCGGCTGGAGTCTCACCTTAATGCTAATACCCACAAGAACATTCAACATAAGTCCCAGATCTGCACGTGTAACACTAGTATATAATTGTCTTCCACAACTCTCCACAAATGGCGCAGTCTTGTCAGTGAACATCCAATACATCGTTCACGTCATTGCGTGTGACACCATAAGGAGCCCCTCTTAGAATGTCTCATTACACCAGTTGATGAGAAATTCAACCTAATAAACACCTGAAGTTCCCAAATAAAAAAGCCATAAAATAGAGAATAAAATAAAGAAAACAATCATTACAGCCCATAATTAATTATAAATCCTAAATTTTAAAAAAATCTATTAAAATATGTCGGATAAGATGAAGTTTCGAACTACTCGCCATCTTACCCTTCGTTGTCTTAACCCCCACCTCGCCATTTTAGTTTGAAAATTGTCTACCAGTATCTGTCTTCAATGCAAATAACCTACATATTGCATGACTAGTGGTCCTAGAACCGCACATACTCTCTCGTATTATTTCTAAATTTATAATTTTCGGAAATTCTGTAATGTTTCATAAAATTGACTTCGTCAAGAGTTCTTTCCAAATGTTTTTCTTTCAATTTGTCGTGGTACATATTTTTAAAGTCAATTTGAAAACCACACAATGTTGGCCTCCGGGTCACTTGGCTTATCCCTAATATATTTCGTATAAAAATTATCTTCTTTGAAGCTATAACGCTGATCCCCGTAGCCCAATCGCAGCGACCGCCTCAATAACACCGCTATGCTCTTCTCGGAGACATGCATCCGCAGGCAACTCAATAGGCCATTCATTTATTTAGTTCATTTTCCATGAAAGGAAATTTTTCGTTTTTGTATTCTCGTATTCTTTGTCTTCTAAGTTTTGTTTTTTATCTTCAGTGTCATCCTCTACACCTTTCTCTGCGTCTTTCCCTTCCTGTTTCTCGTCTTTCTCTTCTTTCGAATGGCATCTCGTATGTCTCGACTGGTTCACGCGAAGTGGTCTTATCGTGAGTGACGGAATCCCACATTCGCACATCAGCACACTCGAGAAGTTACTCGAATATTTCATGGAGATTTTGGACGTTTTAAGCAGTATTTTACGAATAAGCCCGGAGGAAGTTAAAATACTTTACCGTACAAGAGTAATTTCCAACGCTATGAAGACCAAAAATGACATGCTTTCCGATTCGCGTGTGCGTCTGTCACAACTCATGTTAGTTCTCTGAACTGACTTCTTTCAAGTGAGGTAGTGATGTCACTGCAGTGCCTCCAACCGGGAGGTCCTCTGTTAGAGACAAGACGGTAGCAGGTTTTGTGACATTAGCTTGGTCGAGTTCAGTCGCGGTCTGGAGGAGAATTCTTGCGGCCGACAACTCTGATCAGCAGTTTTCTGATGGTTTCTCCGATCAATACCGGGTGAATGCCGGAGCAGTACCATAACAAACCAGCCACGGTCCGCGAACTTCGAAAAAGAATAGCGAGAATTGGAAAAAATAAATCGGTAGGTCTGGACTACGCTTTCAGGAGCTTATTAGCTTCGACGCTTTTTAGGAGACTTATTAAAAGCAGGGGGTGAAGCCATGATTCATTCTTGTTCTTCCAGGATTTTTTCTCGTGGCTCGTAGTTAGTGGGACAACTGTATACATTTCATTCATTTCAGGCGGAAATATCACGAAAACTACTAGTGGACTTAAACCTCGACCGCTTGTGGCCTCCAACAAGCTGTAGCTTTGCGGTAAATTCACCACTTTTGGTAGTAGTTCTTCGGGAGCATGTTCCAAGAGAAGCTGTACAAGTGTTAATTATTTATACTATTTAGCAATATGCGTCAATTTCCTCTGTACTTGTTTTTTCTATATCTCAGTAATAACATAGTCTGCTTGTGATTGCCGAGCTTCTTTATATCAATTTCCCGGAATTCCGCATATCCGACACTAACAATTTTACTACAGACTAAGGAAGTTTATCATTACTCTATGGTTTTACTTCCAAAGGGTTTTTTTTCACATTCGTCGGTGGTGCGCCAGTCTAGTCCTCCCGGAAGTGGTTTTCTTCGATCCACGAAGAAACGGTTAGAGCAGAAAATCAGTGTTTTTAGAATTTATTATAATAATGGTTGATTCTTATTGTTGATAAAAGACAATGCGAAGGTTGAGTACCTTGGTATTTATAGCGATTTGACTACCTGGTTCTATGAGATTTTCGAAACGCAGAGTAATGAATGATATTTTTTCATCAGTAGTATCGGAAGTGAAAATGTCAAAAACTTAAAAGTGTATTGTAATATTTTCTGGATCATGTTGGTAAATATAATTTAATTTGAACAATTTTACTTTGAAGTGTGTTTTCGTTATTCGGCGAGGGTGCCCCAGCCCGGATCACATGTGTTTTTATTCAATTTTCGAAAAAACGGCGAGAACAAATAAAATCTGTTGCTGAACTATTTTAGAATGTTTGGTTCTGATTGTAGGTAAAAGTTAATGCGAATTGTGGGATAGTTGACTATTTATGAGGATTTATGTGCTATACTATTTTTCGATACTGAGGGTAATGAATTATATTTTTTTATGGATAGTTTCGGAATACAAAAATTTAAAAACAATACTGTTATGTATTGTTTACGTTCTGTAAAGATAATTTAACTTAGAATGATAATTTTGATTTTAAGAATGTTTTTACTTATTTGGCGGGGCTGCGCCAATCCGAGTCACCCATAAGTGGTTTTATTCATTTTTTGGAAACGGTAATAGAAAAAAATCAGTGATGATGTAGATTATTAGAATAATATTTGGTTCTGATTGTTGGTACAGATCAATGCATACTGTGGGTAAGTTTTTATGAGGAATTATGCGTCTCGAAACACGTTTTTTGACACTTTGGCATTGTAAAGATTTACAATTATTTGGGGGGAATATTAACACTCAAAAATGCAAATAAATATTGTGTAGTGGTTATTTTTGCGCCAAAGAATCTAGTTTTGCTGGACAGTTTCTTTTTCTACGAGTCATTTTCTAACAAGTTCGTGTTGCGCCTGTTCGAGATTTCGGGAAGTCTTTTTAATTTTCGAAAAACGGAAAAAGCAAAAACATTAATATTTTCTATATAAAAAGAAACTTTTGGGTCAATTGGCTTTGCCAGCTTAACATTAAGACACTAAGTTTTGGAAAAACTGGAGTTAATTTTTGGAACTTTAGGAAGTACAGAATTCAGGGTATTGAGAAAAATGACTGCCTCCTCAACAGACGGGCAAACTACTCCTCATGGGCCGGCGAGGAATAACAGCATGCAGAAAGGTGATGTATGGAGGGCCAATCATGCCTCAACAGTGGTGAAAAATAAAACATGTCTACGGAAAAGTCGAACCTGCGGCACCAAATTCCATGCTTACTTCAGCACTACTGCCTTAGTAATGGCAGCTGAACAGATGTATAATTAACATCAAAGTTTCTATGTTATGGTGTTAACTTCTTATTTAATGGTATGAATATAATGATCGTTAATTACAAACATTTCACATGAATGATGTTAAACCCATATGTTGTTAAACCGCTTAATGCAACCAATGCTGGAAGGAAGGCAACCCAATGAGGAAATAAGGAAGCAAGAAGACTAATTTTAAGTGTCAACTGAGTATTCAACCCATGTTCCTCACCATCTCACTAAAACTGAAGGTAACATGACAGAAAGGGAAGATAACGTGTGGTTCCTGTCTCATATTCGGGCATCACAAACTCTTGGGTTACAAATTTCTGGCTACTTGCCAGGTTACTTGTGACCTTTCAAACTTTGACCCAAATTGAAGATTTTACGTTTAACCTTTTACCTTCACTACCACTGATGCTGGAAGAAAAGGGTATATTTTGAAATAATTGATAAATACCTCAGTTATTTTTCTATTTCAATGGAAAACATACATTCAGTTGCATCCGAGTACAAATTCATTTCAGATTTCTCAAAATTTCTAATTAATTTAATTTTTAGTAAAACAAATACAAATTTTCATATACAACATTTTACTAAAATTGTGTGTATGTTCTTCATCACAAAACATTACAAATAAAACGAGATTCCACTGAAAATCAAATGACACTGTCACTTGAATGACCAACCAATAGTGAATATTAATTTGGACCTAAGACAAATACTATACACAAGGATTTAAAAATTGTCTCTGGATCTCGCTATCACTGTTCTTCACTAGGCCCACCTTCTGAAAAATAAAAAAAACAAGAGCATTACAATAAATAAAATATTAGAAAAATCCAGAAAATAAAGGTCGTCAAAAGTGGCGAGACGTCCGGTAACCGATAGCTGCCACGACGACCAAGCTTAAACGTATTGTGTTTTAAATATTTCAGACCAGAATTTAATAATTAGTCAACCATATTTAAACAATAATAGTTGCGAAACAGCCGAGAAATTGTCATAAAACACCGAGGTTGAACTCGTCCACAGCAATCCGTATCGCTTTGCAGTATTAGGGCGATATGCGCTCCTATACTTAGGTCGTTATAACGTAGCGCGTCAAGCCCCGTCTTCAGGATGATATATATCACACCACTTCGCGACTTTCTCGGTCGTACCGGTAGATGTCGCATGATTGCGACCAAGGGTATCATGTGGGGCAGACTTTAAGTCGCCCGCCGTCACCAAGGAGGTACAGGTTAGATTCCCGTCGAATCCCGGACAATGTCATGTGAAATTTGTTCCAACAAAACGAGTTTGCCTGCTTCACAGGAGCTAGTCCAACACCAGTGAAGCGTCCTAAACCCTACATCTTTCCTAAATCCTTCCTAATTCTGGCTGATTGGCAGTGACGCAGGAGCACATGGTAGAGAATGAGTCAAAATGACAGTTCACCAAGCAAGTGAACGTCACATGTAATTCACAGAAGTACCACTCCGCTGCGGCAGCCCTCCAGCCACACCTCTTCGTAAAGTATTAGTTTATGGGTCCCTTGACATTTCTAAGCACAAGTCGAAGAGTTTCGCTTACGTATATGCACGTACACAAGTACGGGAAATATTGAAATTTACTTACGATCACAGCTTGCGATCACTCTCGATCACAGCTCCTACCTTACATTACAAGAGCCAAAACACTTGCACCGCCCCCAACACTTGCGCCACACACTACGCATCTCACATTCAAGACTGTTTCAAAACAAACATAATACTTACAGCACAAAAACTAAAGTCAATGTAATGTTTATAAAATTTTTATAGAAGAGCACTTAGCATTGCAATTCCTAGTTTTAATTATTTCTTGTGGCGCACCATATTTTCGTCGGACGAGAACATCACAAAAGGAAGTGTCGAAGCCATTTACAAGTTAGTCAACTGTAAACGAATGGAGGAAGGAGAGCAAAAGACTCAAGGGCACAACGACCACAGAATCTTCAGCTATGTCGCCAGTACTAGCTGTCAAGACGGCCCTTCCTTATAAAAATCGCTTTATAGGAAGCGTGTACGAGATGATACTTAGCGGTCTTCTTGACAACTGACTGCGACGAGACGGGACAGTAGGCAAATATAATATAATCAATTATAACGGAGGATTACTCCATGGTGCGCGCAATACTCTTCTTAGGGTTTAGAGATGCGTTGCGTAAATGTTGACGCAACAAATAAAAAAGCAGTGCTGCGGTCATGCGACATCTAGCGAGTTTGAAACGCTTTCGTCGATTTTGAAAACATCCGTTAAAATTTGGGGGTACTATACATGAATTCCCCACGAACATTTTTACAATTTTCTCAAAAACTGTTCCAATTTTTTTTTATTTCCTGTAAAAATAGAGGAAATACACTTAGAAATGTGAAATGATTTTCACATTTAACTATGAATGCTCGAAAATTTCATTATTTTGAAATTTTTTGGGCGTCTTCCTACAACTGCAAAATTGAAGATAGATTTTTCCTTCAAATACTTCTTTTCCTTAGAGAGTTTTTTCACTAAGGTCACATACCTTCTTTTTAGTTTAGTAGTTTTAGTCATATTGCGTGCATATTTTAATAAAATAAGCAAAACACAATTTTCTCAAAAAAGGTTCTAAATTCCTTTAAACTTTGGGACGTGATAGACAAGATAAAAAGTACAAAAATGTAGCGTACATGTGCTTTAAATAATGTCATATAACGTTTTTCAAAAACAACCGTTTTCAGTGAAACTAACTCAAAATTTGCATTTTCAGAAATGCTCAAACGCCGGTTTCTAAAAAAGACTTTTAAAAAAATATATTTTTGGGTGATAGAATCTCCCCTAAAATGATCAGTCATTAAATTTTCATAATGATAAACATAATAAAAAAAATGTGTGCGCTCAAAACGCAATTCACAGTCTTTCTAACAGATTTACATTAAGGTCCAGATTCTAAAATAATTCTCGGGCCAAAACCAAGAAATTTGTTAATCAGATTAGAAATTAGAGGGAATGCTTTAAGAACCAAATTTTTGTGTAGATCCAAGTGTGAGTCAAAATTATTAGTGCATATGACCTGTAGTCAGAAGACTTTTTTTAAGTTAAAAAAACTTTCTTTTTTGCCTTCTCTTTGTTTTCTTTCTCCTTACCATTATAAATATTTTATTTAACTTATTAACCTTTCAAAACATATTTCATCATGACAAAATATCTAAAAACTGAATTATTTTTTATTTCCATATCTCTATATACCAGATCTTAAGGATTTCCAAAATTTGAAACACCTGATGCATGATTATGACAATCTAGTCCTAAACTCAAATAATTGGCAAGTCTTACCTATGTTTGGAAGCATTTTAATTATTAATTATGTAATAATTCTCCTAATAAGGAGGTCTTTCTCTTTAAATTCAATTGTTTGCAATGATAAAAATTCTTCTTTTGTGTGAATTTAAAACCATTTTTTAAGCCAAGTTCTTTCCATTAAAGATAATAAAGAAGAAACAAGATGCTTAAAAAAAAAAAAAAAAGGAAAAAAAGGAAAAACAAAAACAAAAAAAAAAAAACTTTTTTGAAGTACCTTTGCCAATAGGGATGTCAGGAACTTCATCAACAGTTACAGATGCTTCATCAGAGCTGCAATTTTTTGTCTTATTCTCTTCACACATTTGTACTTCATTTGTAGCTTCACTAGAATTTAATGTGGGTTCTTGTCCTGAAGCAAATTATAATAATCAAATTAATTTAATGGTTACATACATTAACTTGTGTATCCCACCCCACCACTAGGGGCAGATCCAGAAATTGGGGAGGGGAGGGATTTCAGTTAAGAACCTCCTAAATTCGTTCAAGAAAAGCAACACCTTTTTAAACTTGAATTTCTTCTTGAAATATCCATCTGCTTGAACTTAATGGAAATACAGTCTACTCCAGTTATATTGAAATTCTGGGGACTAACATTTTTGGTTCACTATATCAGAGGTTCATTATATCCAATGACGTCAAAATTAAATACAATTTCTCCATAACGATGTTTTTATTAATATAGAGATTCAACAAAATACTGAACAGAACTTTCAATCTCTTTATTTGTCTTTAAAAAAATCAATTATTTTCAATTGTTTGCTTCGTACATTTTTCGTAAGTAATTTCTCTAGATCCTTCTCTACAGTTCGTGCTCTCTCCATACTTCATTCTGCATTGTCCTTTTTCTCTAAGTATTGTAATGCAGTCTTGTGCTCTCTTCAATGCCTTATGCACTGTTGCAACACTGTCCCTCTCTCTCTCTGAAGGCCTTTTACTCGTCTAAGACAAGATACAAGAATACTAGAATACAAGATACTAAGATATAATAAGCTTTCGGTAGCAGTATGGAGCAAGCAGCTAATGAAACTGATCACTTTACCGTGTGGCACAGCAGATACTGCCAGGCTGTGGCAGTTGCGTCAATTACTTTACTAGTTCGACATGTGCAGTCATTCTGCACATTATAAACCATTGTTTTAAAAGTAGACAAGATAGTAAGAACATTTTATCAGGGAAAAGATTGTAAAAACTTTTTCTTTGGGTATATTGTATGTACCCACACACAAGTTAAAGTTAAAACCCTAAGTTTTCAACCTCCCAGACCTAGTGCTAACTCTGTAAGGTCCAAAAAACTTGTATATTTTCGGACTATTATCGTTTCTTTTTTCCCCTCTCTAGCTCTTGAACCTTGTTCTGTAGAAAAATGATTGGAATCAATTTTAAAGACAATAAAAATTTCTACACCTTTTGAATAAAACATTTTTTCCAAACAAATTACCAAGCAAGCTACTGCTTAAAAACACACACGCTTCTTTCTTCATCTATCCAAAATCTGATCTGTGGGGCACTGGCAAGCTTAGTGCTGAGATACAACCTTCAAAAACTTACACGCCAGAATCGTAGCATGGGTGCACAATGCAAATTCTCATGCTGTGCATGATGCCATTAGCCATTATTGTTCAAAACAACATAGGTGTTGACTGACCTCTGACTGCCAAAAATGTGATATTTTAAAACAATTGTTTTATTTATTACAGAGAATGGCTAGTGTGCTGCAGCCCCATAGCCCAGGCCAGCCACCACAGACTTGAAGACACAAAAAGTGTGGACTTATTGTCCCTCCACCTCCCTGCCAGATCCACCCCTTTATGACACACAAACATGTGAACACATACAAAAAGTATACTTACTCTTCAATCCCACTTAACAAAAATTACTCACATTTAGAATTCTTTCTAATCATTAGAAACATGAGAAAATATAACCAAAAATAAACTTATAACTGTTGTATAAGTACATACAAAATGCAATAACAGAACTAAATCCACATTACAAATGAAAGGAAAAAGAATCAAAGAAAAAGCAAACAATGAATATTGCCTGATTTAAATATAGTGACTTGTGGCAGATCAGCTGTGATGTGGTTATCAAATCAGGAGCTTCAATATGAAAAATGAAAATCGTAACAAAGCTCTATACTCAATAACTGTGTCCAGCTGATGATCTGTCAGAAGTCACACTATTTAAATTGTACAATATTTCGCTTTGAGATCACTACCCAAAGGGCCCATTTATTTAGAAAAAGCATCTGTAAACTTCTTGTAAAAGAAGATAATTTAACACAATGCAGCCTTTACAAATAATAAAAAGCTTCCTGCATTTGAAACTTGACCATGTTCTCATTATAGTGGAAAGCGTGTGAATGAGAACCCTTAAAACAAAAGCAGTGTGTAAAATCAGATTATCAAAATTACATTGAATCAGAAAAACAAGATTTAAGAGAATATTAATATTACAAAATTGACAAAGTTTGACAAACACCTAAGAAATAATAAAAATTATTTAACACTAAAATTATGTCAAGAAATTTTTAATCCTGAATACCTGGAGGATTATTAATATTGTTTTTCAGTTGAGCCAAAAGAGAGGTTCTCTCAACTTGTAAAGTGCGGCATAATTTCTGAAGTTGAGCAATTTGTTTTGTAGCTAAAGCCAAGTCACTGTCTCGCTGTTGTTTATCTGCTGCCATCTCAAGCAATGCTTGGTGACTCTTTTCCCAGCGTTGTTTCCACGATGATGTTTCTTTCTCTAGTTTACAGATTTTCTTTGACATCTAAAAGTAAATAAACAAAGAATTAGTATTTTTTTTATTCTCTCTACTCAATACCTGTAACTATATAATGCCAATCTGTCACATCTAATAACCACGAGTTTTTAGATAATTTTAACCTTAAATATAGATTAATAAAACCGCTCTTAAAGATAAAAGTACAATTATTTATTATAAAATTATCAAAGGGAGAATTTTATAGAACATGACATCAAAAATTCTGTTTTTTGAAACCACTTAAAACTAGCAAAAAATTTTGAAAAATAATTGAGAGTTTTGTGTACAGTACATAAAAAATATTGTGAAAGCAAAAGCAATTTAACATAGCTTGAACAACATTTACTTTGTGAACAAAACTTTACCTCCGGTCATTTCCTTTCCCTTGATGCAGCAGTTCTCAAAACTTCTGATGCCAGGGACTCCTTTCAACCCAAAGTTGAGGCTAAGGAGCCCTTAGCTTTTGATATTAAGTATCCTGTTAAGTTCAGTCAAGTGCTTCTTGGGAATACAATTCAATGGAATAATCCTTCTTGAAAATTAGCTATGTTGAAACAAAAGCAAGCACTAACTTGGAAATAATTCATTAATATAGTACAACATATAGTGAAAATCAGGAACCGATTTAACTATTTTGATTGTCAAACCTCACAAGATAAAAAGAAAACTTCAAAGACCTCAGATTCTATTGTAGAAGCTTTGAACTCTGCGAGGACTACTTTGAGAACCGCTGCATTAATTATTACAAAAACTCGTTTCTTCAGTAAATATAATAATCATTGAATCTATTGATTTGGAAATGGAATCCTACCTTTTCCATTTCGCCTTTAAAGCCTTCAAAAATTTCATTGCTTCTACTTAAAGCATTCTGGAAGTCATCATATTTGCTAGTATATAAACTTATTTGACCTCTTAAATTAGTTTCTGTTTGTTGCATATCTTTGATTTTAGCCTGACATTCAGTCACCTCCTACAAAAATAAATCAATATCAGTTACTATTCAACAGTAAACATTCACTGTACTCTTCACAGCATTGTATCATATGTGTTTGGAAATAAATAAAAAGGAAATTCTTGATAATACAAACCAATAATAATTCTTGCTTTTCCCTCAACAATACTTCTTTTTCTGCAGTCATTTCCAATTTCGTTTTTGCAAGACGAGCATCAGCAAGTTTGCTCTCCAATTGAAGTTGTTTGGAAATCTTTTCAACTTGCTAAACAAATGTCAGTTGAAAGTAATATAAATTATTCGTTCACAAGAATCTTTCAAGTTTTTCCAAGTGCATTAAAAGAAATTGTAGCAAAATTATAGACACCACACAGGAACTCAGATAATTCTATATTTTAGGAATACTGAACATGCTCATCGACTTAGTCTCAATTTTATGAGAGTAGATCTCCTAAAACAGAAAGAATAAAATAAGGTAATAGGTTCATTAAACAACAAAAAGCCCAACCTGTTCTCGAAGTTCATACTGTTCACAAACACTTTTGAATTTTTTGGTCATCTCAAGGTTGTCTTCATGAAGTTTGCTATTCTTTTCATTATTCTGTTGCATAAGACTAGTGACATCTGCTAAGGTACTCTGAAATTTGGCCGAAACTTCTTTGCGCTTTTCCTCTTCTTCACGAATTTTTAATAAACTTTCATCCTAAAACAAGCAAAACCAGATTTGAAAATCATATTTGAAATCCCCATACGTATTTGGTTTTTTTATCTTTCACCAACACATGTAGAATCAAAATTCAGTTACATCTTAACACAATATAATAAACTACATAAAAGAGCACTAATTACAATGCTTCCATGATATTGTAATTTGTTAGGCAGTGGGAATACTAGTGTACTAGCTTCTATTTTAAAGAATTTTTCAGCAGTGAGTAAACAGAGAAAACAGATTAAATTCTGAACAAGGTAGGTGAATAAGTGCAGGATCGAAACTTAATAACGTAAGAAACACATGGTACATTTTCTGTCACATCGATTCTTTATAATTGAGAAACTCTACTTAGTTATGTTCTGAAAGTTGTAACCTACAAAATGAGATTTATTTGGATCTATAACAGTTTTGGAGGTTAAGCTCTTCAGATATTCCATAGCACAGATGGACAGAAATAGGCAGAATTTGTAAATTTAAGTAAAAATTAAATCACATTACTGATAGTCTGTGTCATTTAATCACTTGGTCTAAGCCTTGTTGATTATTAACTGCTTAACAACATTAGAATGCTTACCAAGCACATCGAAGAACAGTGTGGCTTTCGGAAAGGATGAGGTACCACAGACAATTTCACAGTATTCATTCTAGACTCGCTCTATTAAAAAATGATTAGGGCCAGGGCCGGTGCTATCTACAAGCAAAACTAAGTGATTGCCTCGGGAGCAAAACTTTAGGGCTGATTTTTCTACTATTTTTTTTTCAGGTACGAAAAGAACATTGTAGAATCAAAATAGAAGATAAAACAATAGAACAAGTGACAACCTTCATTTACCTAAGGAATAAAGTAACTTTATGGGAAGACATCACAGATGTAATATATTGTCAAGATACAATAGAATCAATGAAATGACCAATAGTAAATTTCCAAACATGACCAAAGAAACACAGAGTAAGTCATTACAAAAACTGACAAGACTCCATTACAAAATTAAGACTCAAAAACTAACCCTATAATAAGAAAGTGAAACATGGATCTTAATACAAAAAAACAGAAGTAGATTACAAGAAGCCCAAATGAGGTACCTGAAATAGAAGAGCGAAGGAACAAAAAAAAGAAATTAAGACATAAGAAAAAGTCTGAAAGTTAAGAACACAGCAAATGAAAACGAAAGATACCAATGGAAGTGGCAAGATCATGTAAGAAGAATGAAACCAGACAGATCTTGAAGTACAGACAAAGAGGAAAAAGAGAACCATGCAGGTCAAGGAAAAGATGGGAGAAAAAGGAACACTGCAGCAGCAACTAAGGGAATACTGGATGAAAGGCCCATTGATCTAAACCTTAATAGTTCATGATGATGATGATGATGATGATGATGATGATCAGTCCAGCTACATCGACAACAGTGTCGGTCCACATATCAATCATCACTAAAATGAGCAAAAAAGATTTGCAATAGGCCAATTGAAAGAAGCAGATATAACCATTTCCTAATTTCCTTGCAAATATCCAAGACTTGTGTGTTCACAAAAATATCTCCACACATTTCAATGTTTTTTTTTCATCAGATCAGGGCATTGACATCAATCATGGAAAGTTTCATCCTCCTAAGAATTCATGGAGTGTCTATTCTAAAATGAATAGCAGTAGCATATCTTTAGCAGTAATTCAAGCACCTGTTTTTGGTAATCATTTCAGGAATGACTACCCACAAAAACTATGAAAATCACCCCTTTTTTGGGATGCTCAATGATTTACGGTCAAAGTGTGGGGAAAAAAAATGGATTACAAGAAAAAATTTCCATGTAAATGTAGATAAAAGATAACATATATATATAGTTATGTCATAAACAGACAGATTTCCAATGACAGTATTCACATGTTGTGGTTTAAATGAAACATTTCAAAACTGCTTCTAAAATCTGTCTTACCTTCACTGCCTTGTTCTGTCGTTGAAGTTCCCGACATAAGCTTTCTAGACGGCTTCGTGTAAGTACAGCTTTACTATGTTCTGCCTGCAATGACTCTTTCTCTCGTTGAACAAATATTATTCGTTTCTCTGCCTGCTTCAATGAAACCTAAAAAAATCACCAAAACAAAAACTACTATGAATTAACAAAAACACTATTTTTTACTAAAACAATTACACAACAAAACATAAACTCAAAACAGTAGTTTACCACAGAAGTATATTTCTAAGGTATGTTTTAAATGCAATATTTCAGATGGATTGTGACAGTGCTAATAAAAAAACTTCTAAAAATAGGATTTTTATGAAATATTAAATAGTAATGGAAAGTGGCAGAATACAAAAGAAAATATTCCAAAAAGGAAGTGAAACATAATGGGTAAAACAAAGTCAGTGCATTGTTCATAACCAGGGTTTGTTTAGAGAGAGAAAATCTAGAATTCTTTAAAAGAATGAAAATTCATGAACTGTTATATCTTAGTGAAGTTTGTATCATTGGAGCTGCATCTTATTCACTGTATGTTTCAAAACTCATAAAACAACAATTTCAGGACATGAAATACTTATTTCAAGTGTCAATAAGCTAACTGCAAAATAACCAATAAGAGTAAAAAAAACAACAAACTAGCACAATTTCATACCTGTAATTTTCTATTCTCATCAATAATTTCTGCATACTTTTTACACATAGCTGCAAGTTTTTCTTCTGTTGAATCTAAACTATTAAGTGCCTTTAAAACTTGGTCAATGCTTTTTCTGTTTTTGTCTTCTTTACTATTCTTCTTCACTACAACTTCTTCCTACATTAAGGGAAAAAAATTATAAAAAATACTGTCTACTTTGAGCAGACAAGTTCCATTTCTTCATTGTACAATTTACTTACTTCCATTGAAGTACTTTCTAATTCTTTCTCCATTCCAATTTTCAGTTCCCTTACTTTAACATACACTATAAAATTCAGTTGAAGGGTATGACACAATGAACCTTTCTTAACAGAGCTAATTTAAATCCTAAAATCAATCAAATTAAGTTATTATGGCCCAAAAATTTGGAAACAAAAGGTTAATAAAATATTGACTGAAATGAATGTACACTGTTCACAGGCACACACACACACACACACACATGGAGGCAGTGCCTGGCACCACCAAATCGCACCAAATACACTAGGAGAACACGCCAATCTAGTAATAATTTTAAATCCAACTTTAAAGATAATCAACCAACCTCACACTGCTCGCTATCACTGTAAAATAATTACATAAATTCCCGCGATTATGATTCTAAAATGTGCATTGCCAATTTAATTCACAGCGGATACACGAAATCAGCAGGCTATTTTAAACCAAAGCGTTTGGCCAAAACATCTCAGTAATCGGGTCACCTGCAAGCAGAAAGACGCACAAGGGGCTCCAAATAAACAGAATATATTTAACGATAGACTATACATCCATTTCAGTGAAAGAGTAAATACAAAGTGATCTATCAAACATACGAGAAGTTTTAACATATGAATTTAAAAATACGTGAACAATATTACACAAAAAGTTGTTAGTATTTACTACCAAGAACCAGGAGTGATTTACACATAACCCTGTCAATTGGTTTTTAAAAAAGTTTCAATAATAGGCAAATTAGGCTCGAGTGCTTAGCAATCTTTATTGGTTGGTCTTAAGCTAAAAATGATTACCGGACACATACGAAGTATTCTGAAAAATAAAATCATTAATACTTGCGGAATTATATATTGTGAAATTTAAGACGAAAACAACCTTTTAAGTAATTAATCCACGTGGTTTTGAGATGTAAACAAGCCAACTAGAAAGTAATTGCATAGGCAACGAAACTCTCATTCTTTCCGTGTTCACCCCTTTTACTTTTTCATTTGTCTTATTTCCCACATTCGCAGCATTTCCCAGTTTCTCCTCCCATCTTCACCCTTTCCCTCACCTAGGAAATAAGAGTTCCAGAAATTCCGAGCTCTCCTCAGTTATCAGAAACGGCTAGTGCTTCAGTTGTACTGTTGTACAACCTCCAAATAATGGTAAAATACTTTGCAATACAGAATAGTTTCCATTAAATGCCATTTAATATTCCAGATATTGTGGTAATATCGATGTATGAAATCATTTTGAAATCAAAGAACGCTCGTCGAGCCCTTTCTGGTGTCTCGTTGCAAGCCAGGCATTACGCTTGGACGCATAGTGCTGGGCTTGCGATACACGAGCGACAATTGACGGACGTTAAAATGCATCCGGCATAGTGCAGCAGGAACGCACACAAGCCATGGAACAGCACCACCTTGAAGTGGCTTCTACCACGCTGTAGTGGCTTCAATAACAACGTCCGTCGCGTGATCATAATCCGCAATGAAAAAGAATTTTCTACTATTAAAAAAAAAGCTGTGAATACATAATTCAAGAGGGCATAAAAATGACACTGGATTCAATTTATCGGTCGTTTGGAAACACAACATCGGTATGCTGTGACGAATCCAGGGGGGGCATGACTCCCCCAAAGGTCTAGAGTTTTCGTTTGTTACCATCTATTGGAACACGGCGGAAGCTTTTCACAAATTTCACACGCGCCAGCAGTGGGCTACATTGGTCATGTAATAGAAAGAAATACTATTTCGCATATTTTATTTTAATATCAAACATAAATTAAATACTTCATACAAGGATTGGGGGTGGGGCAGTCCCACAGCTTACTCCCACCAGCCGCCACTGTTGTTTAGTATCATATATATATATATATATATATATATATATATATATATATATATATATATATATATATATATATATATATACAACAAAAATAATTTTGTCAGTGTACCAAATTATCCTATTCGTTTGCACTATTTCCGTAAATCCCAGTCTGTTGAGTTGGAAAATCAAATTGACAATTAAATGATTAGCTCTTAAAACAATCTTTCTTTGGTTTTCTGAGGTTAAATCATCCCAAAAGATTTTTAAAGATGCTACAATATTTTAAAAAAATCATGCTAGATAATATTTGTTGCTCGATAAAAGGTTATGTTTTACATGTTCCTGCCATAAGTGCACACATATTTCCTTCCTTTCCCGCTTGCTATATCACAACATGTATGATTCTAAATGAAACATGTTGAGCTAAGTAGCCACTGCTGCCTGGATAAGTCATTTGAATAGTGTTCACGGGAAAATGTGCAAATGGCGTCCATTGATTCAATATCACAAATATCTTAGTCTTTTTCACTGCTAGAGCCTAGAGGAGGATCACTTAAACTTTCAGTATCAGAAGATACTATTTTCTCTGTTTTTTGTTGATTCGGTTTATATTTCTGTTTGCAACATGTATCTTTCTTTGTTTTCCATTGGCTTTGACGGCTTAGGACTTTTTTTGCAAACTCTTTGTCTTTTCAGAATAAAAGTTTTTCAACTTTTTCTTGTATGGAGAACTGGTTAAAACTACACTCCCTTTCGTTTCCGTGAGGTGGTTTTATTTGAGGTACCGTTATTATATTCTGAGGTGATGCCGTGACCACACTCACCAAAGCATCAGATATTGAATCAGATGTGGATAAGATTTGTACTCCTGCATTCTGCTTACGTTCACTATCCATCTGCATGGTCGACCTGCCATCACTGACTGGTTGACAAAATGCACCAATTTCGCCATTATCCCGCTCTTCTTCAACCGGACTTGAGCAGCTATTTTCCTTTTCTTCCATGAAGTGAGATTCTGTAAAGACCCCATCATCAAAAAGATAAATACCCGCGACGCGAAATCCACTCATCGCATTATTCATACTTGTTGCCATGATATACACTTTACCCATGAGTTAGGCAACCTCATATTGCGTAACAATTCTTCCTGCAGTATTGGAAATCTATTTTTCAATTTATTGGTTGTAAAATGTTTTAAACGGCTTCGTAAACGCGACATCTAATGGTTGCAGCCTGTGGGTGCCGTTTGGGAGTAAGCAGACCATGATGATGTGGTTTTCTCGTGCAAAATTTAAATCTTCCAAGTTTCTTGTATTCGTGTTTCGTATGAGTAGTGCCCGTCAAGGATCAATACCGCTGGAAGGTCTTGTGTAGTGTGGCGTCGTTAACACGAGGGCCAGAACCGTTAGGTCGGTGAAAATGCGCTGCGGGGGAGGAAGGGGTTAGACTGACACTTCCGGGATTGTTGCACTCTGGCGGGTCTTGGATCAGGAAGAGCTTGCAGAGCCAAATAAGGCCTATTAGGCTCGTGTATAAGAGCTCCTATGTGATGTAGCCAGCCCGCGCCCTCTCTAACGCGACGTCAAGGCGTACCACGCCAACCTGGATAATGGAGACTTGGTTTGTGGGGGGCGTACCCCCTCCCAAGATGTCCTGAGGCCCAGCGACGGCCTCTTCGGCTTGGCCGGACGGCAAGCGAGCCTATCTTAGGGACGTGGGTCGTGATGGGGGGGTGTAGCCTCAGTTTTAACCGCGGGCGCCATCTGCGCATCCGCGTTTCTCATTTATTTTACAATCAGAGAGGCGTTTGTACCGTGTAGGTACAACGAGGAGTGTAGGAGTGTGGGCGGAGAGTGGCCGCAGAGAAGGGGCCAGCACGATCTGGCCGCGGGCTTAGGGCACAGCGGTCGCCACGACCGCTCGGTTTAAATTTGCGTCAGGCCCATGTGACGGTAATTGTCCCGGGACGGAAGGATCGACAGCTCGCAATCACGCGTGGGTTTTATTTCTCGCGGTCAAGCAGGGGTACACGGAGGAAAAGGTGCCGGAGTGTTTAATTTTAGCAATTTATTGTACTAGTCTGTACTTTCAATATACTATTTTTATTTTGTTATTTGAATTTATTTCTCATTTCACTACGTCACAGTAGGCATGACAAAGTCAGCAAAATGTTTCTTTCACTTACAAAACAAGTCATACTGAATCCACCCTATTGGGGTGAAATCCCGATATGCCACCAGGTAGAGCACCCTTCATTAGCCTCAAATCGAGCATGTGGAGCTTCCTGGTGAATACTATCACTGGAGGTATATTTACTATACACCCCAACAACGGACATGCAGGTTACAATGTTGTTTAACTTTCCCCTTTTTACCGATGTCATTCTATAAACAACTGCTTTCTCTTTCGAGCATATCATTTGAACATTCTTCCTTTGAACTGTCGTAATGCTCGTCTTCTCAACTTTAAAAATCACGGTAGGATCAATTTTTTAACTCTGAGAATACTAAAAAAACATTTTACGTTCTCTTCAGTAACCCCCAAGTTCAAATGACTGTGGAGTTCTTGTTACCTGATTTGCATTCCTTTGGGAAAATAATTTCAGCTACTTTCGACCAACAGAGTTGGTTACATTAGAAAATGGATGAGGCAGATTGTTTCTTAAGGTCCACTCTTCTCACCGGGCACCAGAATTTCCGTCTAGTCTTCCTTTTCCGTTACACTTGACTAGCAGCACACCAACGCGTGTTTCACAGTATTTACGCGTAAATACCAACGGTGTTTTTCAGCGTTCTCTTCAACACCCTGGGCTTGTGTTGGTAATTACACAGTTCTATAAACGCCTTGCAATAATTCGCGGCCCTCGTTCTTGTGCCTTGTCCTAATCTTTTCACTAATCCACTCAGTTCTCACGTAATATTCTACTGCTTAAAAATAAATATTGTGCAACTTATTGTAACGTTTCCCCGTGGTGAATTAAAACGCACTCAATATTTTAAACAAAAACGTTTATTCGTAAACAATTATACACTAAAAACTACTTGATCTATTTACAGGAATATTACACAGTTCTTGTGTTCTTCACTTGATTACTTTCCTTACACACGACTCCATTCTCTTGATTATTTATTTACAGTTCACATCTTCTGATTATTTATTTACACTGTTCTCTGCAATCTATACTATCGCCCAGTCCTATGCACTGCCCACGGTCCACTGCGCTGACCTCTATTCCCTGCGCAGACCACAATTCCCTGCGTAGACCACACATCTCTGCGCACACCAGGGTCCACTGCACTACTGTTTACCGCGATGCACACTTCACAGCTCAGCTTCCACTGCAGACTTCAGACTGCTGTTCACCAATTGCACCACTGGTCACCGCAATGCACACTTTACAGCACAGCTTCCACTTCAGACACTGACGGACTGACTGTTTACTACTTGACTGATTACATACACTAACTGATTCGCGGCTGTTTACTTCCGACTACTCTTACACTGACTTTCACTTACATACTTACACTGACTAATTAACTTACACTGACTGACTACTTACTGACTGACTCGCGGCCGCCGGCAGCAGCAAATTTATACCTGGCCGGCGCTCGTCTCGACACAACCAGAACTTTCTCCACCTTTCCCCGTGACTCGCGAATAGTCCGGAACCGTCCAGGTCGGGGGGAAGGGGTAGCGCCGGCAGATGACGCAATCCGCGCGCAGCGAATTCTGGCAAGTGATGCAATATTCGTTACATTATTAACTTCTCGCCGTTGTATAGCTCACTTCTGAATAACTATTCTTACTCGTACTCTCTCAACAAACTCGCTCTCCGCACACGTCCGAAAACTTCGACGTCTCGTTCAAGAAGGGCCTTTCCCCGAGGGGTGGCGTCGCGACGGACCACACTGCGCTTGCCATAAACCGCAAGTCCGGCGGTCGAGCCGCCGGCCATAGATTACAGGTCGCACTATTTCGTATCATTATCACTGGCGCGCCTTGGCGTCGCCGAAGCAGCGTGGGTGTTCGTATTATTATGAGCATGGCTCAAACGCCACAATATATATATATATATATATATATATATATATATATATATATATATATATATATATATATTAGCTAAGCTAACACCCTCACAGGCAGCTCGGAAGGGATGCAGAATGAATGCTCGGAATGAGTTTTATGATCTCAGGTAGCAGAATCTTTCAAGTGTGAAAAACTGTACCCAAGTCTCAGCTTTTAGGTGAAATCAGTGCGTATATTCTTAAAACAATTAGTCACACATTACAAAGCACTGAGATAATAATCACAGAATATATTCAAAATCAAACTACGGAATAACTTCCCAAATACACTCTCCGGATCAATAAAATACAGTAACACAGAAACCTCATGAACTGATAAATCATCAATTCTCTCAGCACCGTGCACAGTCGCTGCCATATACTATGTTAGCAAACGTTGGCTAATTGTAAAGTGAAATTTCCTTCACTCCCCCTTTCCCAACAGAACATAATTTAAATTATACTTACTTCTAAAAGTTACAATGAATTTTACCACATTTAGCATGACATTCGACAATTCCCTACAAACACTACGCCTAACGTTTAAATATTTACAATCAATTTTTCTTTCATCGAATCTTTAGGGAATGAAGTTTGTATTACATAGTCTACAAGGCATTCACTGATATATTTTTGCTCATTCTTTTCGTTTCAATTTCTGCTTTAATATCCAGATTTCTCTCAATCTTTGTCTCATGATCTCAGCAATCGCGTGCTTGTCGCGTTGCCTGCCCCTCTGGTCCAGTTACTATAATTCTTTTTACCTTGCTCTTCGTTCGCAAGGCGGCCGGCTCCTCCTACCTCTGCTTGGAACGTCCGCGTCGTGGGCTCACAACCTTCGCCTAGTTCGGGCCGCGCCCTCGCAATCTGACCATCCGCAATACTGTTCGAAGCGCCGCGCAATCTTTTTTCGCCCTCCACCAGATCCTAGCCGAATCTGCTCCTTGTTTCTTGATACGCCCGGCACCAGAACAGAATAATCGCCTATTCTTCGCTCTTCTCGTGCGGTACGCTGATGCATTTTATAAAGTTCTTATGCGTGTTTAACTAAACGGCGTATTTCGTCCCAGGCGTTCTTAATGGTACGAAGGTTGCCTTTTATGTTTCGGAATTTGGCAACCCTGGTGTGGCAATGTGGCAACGGACAGCTCTATCGTAAAGTTGGATGTTCTGAGGTTATACGTACTCAGAACGTTGTGACATACGAGCGCTATTTGTGTTGTTTACTGTAACTTAAAAGATTCATCTTGGCCCAAAAATGGAATTAAATCGTGAACATTTTCGTGCGATTATTTTTTACAACTTTCGACGTGGATTAACTCAGCAACAGAACTTAATTCAATTCTTTTCGATGAAGCTCCATCAAGGACTAGAGTTTATCGATGGAATGGTGAATTCAATCGTGGTCGTAGTTCACTCCAAGATGAATTTCGCAAAGGTGGCAAAATCAGTTGTTGTTCCGAAAACCATTGATGCTGTGCGTGAACTGATATTGCGAGATCGTCATGTGACCTACTCGTATCGTGAGATTGAGACAACCTTAGGCATTAGTGGGACCAGCATACATTCAATATTGCATTAAACATTTGACTGTTAAAAAAATTGTTCGCGTTGGAACCCACACAATTTATCAACCGCTCAAAAAAAAGCTCGTGTCGATTGGTCGAAAGAAATGCTAAAAAAATAAGATCGCGGTGCTTCGAAACACGTCTATTACATCGTGACAGATGATGAATCGTGGGTTTACGCGTATGAGCCTGAAAGTAAACAGCAGTCAATTATATAGGTTTTTCAAGACGAGCAAAATCCAACAAAAGTTGTTCGCGAACGAAGCACTTCCAAACAGATGGTCGCCTGTTTTTTCGGAAAAACTGGACATTTCGCAACCGTGCCACTACAACAATGTAGAACAGTAAATTCTGAGTGGTACACATTTGTTTGCCAGCTGTCTTCCATGAAATCAGGAAAACTAACCGCCGAAGACTGATCACTCTTCACCACGACAATGCGAGCTCTAACACACCGGCTCAAACAACTGCGTTTTTGAGCACCCAAAACATCGATTTGATGAGTCATCAGCCGTATAGTCCTGACTGGGCACCGAATGACTTCTGTTTATTCCCGTACGTAAAAAACAAACTAAGAGGTCAACTTTTTTCGACACCTGAAGAAGCGGTTGCTGCATTCAGAACGCATGTTTTGGAGATACCTCAATCAGATTGGCAAAAGTGCTTCGACAATTCGTTCAAACGCATGCAAAAGTGTATAGATCTTCATGGGGAATATTTTGAAAAATAATAAAGTGATTTTCGATGATTAATATTGGTTTTTGTTTTCTAATCCTGGAATATAACAGGCAACCCTCGTATTACACGTCATTACTTCACCACTTGTCAGTTTAATTTCAGTGCCGCTCATTCGAGCGCAGCACGCTAACCGTGAGAATTATCACGAAGTTTGGCAGCTCTGCCACCTACTATGTTGTGTTCGTCATGTTCTCGCTGGAGTGTGCCGATTCTTTCTCGTTCGTTACGATAACGGAGAAGAGCTGAGGTACGGCGAAAATTTGTTACAACATGAAGACTTGCGGTTTCTGGAAAATCTCTTACATCGTGAATGTATGAATAAATGTTCTGCGATGAATGAGAAGCACTGTGTATGAGAATCGTGATATGAAGAAGCGGTATACTCGGTCTTTCGGTATATTCGGTCACAGCCGGTCACAGAATTTGACACATCCTGCGTGCGTAGAGAAGAATTTTCCTAAGGATGGGATGATTTGACAGCTAGTACTGGCAACACAACTGACGATTCTGTGGTCGTTGTGTCCTTGAACTTAATAGACTCTCCTTCCTCCATTCGTTCGTTTGCATTTGGCTAACTTGTAAAAAACCACGACGCTCCCTGCTGTGATGTTCTCGTCCGATGAAAATATAGTGCGCCACGAGAAATAATTGAAATTAGGAAGTGCAGAACTTTGTGCTCTAATGTAAAAATTCAGTTTGTTTTGGAGATACCTCAATCAGAGTGGCTAAAGTGCTTCGGCAATTGGTTCAAACTCATGAAAAAGTGTGTAGATCTTAATGGGGAATATTTTGAAAAACAATAAAGTTACTTTCGATTATTAATATTTTTTTTGTTCTCTAATCCTGAAATATAAAAGACAACCCTCGTATTATACCCACATCGGGCCCATCATTACATACGCCTTTTCCACTTGGTCAACAATCCCCCATTCCAAATATAAGAACCTTCAAACTCTTGAAAACCGTGTCATCCGCCTTATCTTTCATCCTCTTCCCGGTCAAAACTACAACATCTTTCGAACCCAACACAACACCCATCCACTTCCCCAATATATATTCAGCACATCCTGACACACTGTACAGCAATTCATAAGCAGTCCCATCTTCACCCACCTCATTCAACCTCACCAACATATTCTCAACTCGGGTTGCGTAGGCTTCCGCGGCCGGAGTTTATGTTGGCTGGGCTATCCGGGACAAGCCGCGTCGAAAGTCATGTTGGCTAACGTTTCGGCCAGCGTCTGTGGCCTTCTTCAGACGTACTGCTGTACTGAGCTTACCAGCAGTACGCTCTGAAGAAGGCCACAATACGCTGGCCGAAACGTTACACCATGACTTCGACGTATTGTGGCCTTCTCAGAGCGTACTGCTGTACTGAGCGTACCAGCAGTACGCTCTGAAGAGAGGCTACATACGTGGCCGAAACGTTAGCCACCATGACTTCGACGCGGCTTGTCCCGGATAGCCCAGCCAACATATTCTCAACTCCCCCTGCGTCGTTCCCGAAAAAAGCACCCCCTAGATATCCTTCAGCTTCCTCTCCGACCTAAAAACACCCAACAAATAAAGACTCACGGAACGCCATGACAAAACCCTCAACAAAATAACCCATCTAAAAAAAGCCCCCCATCCAATTTCTACTCGCCAAACCTCTAAGTACCTAACGTCTCTGCTCTTTTTCCTACTCTTTTCCTACTCTTCTCTCCTCTCACTTCAAACTACTCTACCTTTAACGAAAAAAACCGACTTAATCCTAAACTAGTCCTTGTCCTACCCATCCTCAGCCCTCTGGGGAACGGGAGGCAGCTGGCCAATCCGAAATTTGAAGAACAAAAATCCAGGACAGTGGAGGACACAGATCTACGCCGTTCACACCAAATGCACCACGTTTGACAAAGGGGTTTCTTCAATTTGGAAAAAATCCTACGCATGATTTAGGCGTTAGTAGTATTTACAGACACCAAACGGACGGACGGATGGACAGACGGACGTTTTGCCGTGAATGGATTTTTCTGTATCAAGGACCCACAAAACATGGATTCTGGCTACATCACGTGCTAGAGGATTCCCCCCCCCTTAATTTAGCAACTGGTTTTATGCACTTTTACGTTATCAGGGCCCGGCTTTGGGTTTTTTACTGCCGGAAATTCGCACTTTTTTCGCATAACATAACATAACTTTCCCTATTTTACGTAAACAAATTCCGTAGGCTTGCTTGCTTACGTGATTGACGTGCTCTGTTTGTGCTTTTTGTTATATTAACTGTTTTCTTTACTTGTTTTCTTGTTACAGATAAGCTGAAAAGAGATTTACATTGTCTCAGTGAAAAATAAGTAATACATATATTGGTTAATTTATTTATTTACTTTTGTCAAAAACAGTTAAGAACTTTGTGTGTTACGTGCTACGGGGAGCAGTTAATTTGAAGTTACATTTATGCCCAAATGCAAAACAAGGGGCCATCACAGCATTTGCTCGAGGATCAGGGAAAATGGACGAAAACCTAATCGAGATGAGGGTCATTGACCCTGAAGCTGAAGTGCAATACTTGTTTCAGGTTCTTTACAATTATACAATCCAAATGGTTTAAAATACATTAAACGTCATTGTTAAAATGAATATTACTTTTCTTTTGGATGCTCGGTATAATCTCTAATTGTATAGAAACAGTTGTGCAGCAGAAAAGATTTTACTTTGGATTAAAATTTTGTATCGAATTTAATCTTTTAATGTCATCTGGCAAGATGTTGTAAAACAATGACGGTTTAAAAACAGTGTAATGGATAAACTTGTATTTGAACGCTTTTTAAGAATTCCAATACTTTTTTGTTCTATAAATTATTTTAGATTTGCGTAAAGTTTTAAACTATTTGTTAAAGTGATGTAATAATTGTGAAAAACATCAACATTCAAAGTTTCGTCCAAAACAGTAACAGAAAAACTGGAACTTTGTGTTTCTAATTGTCGATTATAAAAGTGGTGAATGTATCGAAATCTATATACGTACGTATACGGGAAAGTAAAAATATAGTGTTGTTATAGGTTCATACCTTTTGTTGATTCTAAATTCTACATTCACATAATTTAAATCTTTTGTGTCTACAAATGCATTAAATCTTGAAATAGATTAATAATATAAATATTTCACTATAGTACATTCGTTTTTGAAGCCTGTTATAATTTACAAATACGGAAATGAGCGCAATTATTTTTAAATGATCAATTCTTGATATCGAGACATGGAAAAATATCGATTCTTGATATCGAGACATCGATGAGCCGGAAGCCTGTGGATAGCCTTCCGGTTGGTTGTCTTTGCGTGAGTGGAGATCGTTCTTGCATGCGGGACTGAAGATGACTGGGTTAAATAGTAAGGTAAGTGATTGCATTTTTCGCAATTTGTTAGTTTATCTCGGTATTAGTTGATTTTACTTGTTGTATTGTCTTTTTTAACAAGGTATTTAAAAAAAACAATTAGTCGAATTTTACGTAGCTGGTGTACCGTGAGGGAAAGTAAACCACGTGTCTGTAGTAATCATTCCTCACATTCGGGCGACTTGAGATTTTTTAAGCTGTATACTTTTGTGCTAATTTTTGTTATTTCATATTTCAGGCCATCATAATCGATGGCAAGGGGCATTTACTCGGCAGATTGGCGGCAGTTATTGCCAAGTCAGTTCTGCAAGGAAACAGAATTGTAGTAGTTCGTTGTGAATTACTCAACATCTCTGGAAACTTCTTTAGGTAAGTTTTACTTCATTTTAAAAAATATGCCGATTCCATTACATATATCAAGAATTGATTATTTTAAGTCATTTTTAGAACGCTTGAAAATCTCACTTTATAACTGTAATATTGCTTAATGTAGATCTTATTTAGTGACTTGTAGCAGCAAATGTCTTCTAGGAAGTTAGAATGGAAATTGTTTTAATACCTGCGTAAGTAATCTTGAGAAATGTGTACTTTTATGTATGCAGTTGGGTATACCAAGGTGAACATGTTACAGAAAATAGATCTAAGCCATTCAATGTGTTGTGAATTATAGGCATTCTCTAGAAAAGAATTTCTCAAAGGTATTAAGGGTTTTGTATGTCTGTTACAGGGCTAAGTTGAAATATTTGTCTTTTCTTCGGAAGAGATGTAACGTGAATCCGGCTCGTGGCCCATTCCATTTCAGGGCACCAAGTAAGATTCTGTGGAGAACTGTGAGAGGTAAGTTTATCATGCTTAATAAATATACTTATCTGTAAACTTTAAAAATTAAAATTTTTATTAATGATAAAAATTATAGTTGATTGGAAGTTGGGCGGTGTCTCATTCATTTAGTATTGACTTCATGAGGTCTATTTACCCGCCGAATGATTTTTAAGATTAATATTCACATAAAATGCATTTGTAATTACGTTAGATGTTCACGTGACAGCTGAATGCTCGAGCCTAGTCGTCAATTTGGTCTCGTGTAGCGAAGTGACACAATTGAGTGCATCAACCTACTTCCAATTTCACTGAATTATGATATTTTAAAGCTAATTTTTTAAATTTATTTGTTAAGATTTTTTCAATTGAAAAACTTGTTACTTAATGAAGTAGTTTTGGTGTATAATTGATTGAATTGTTAAATTACTCTTAGTTGTATGTTACAATGATCATGATGTAAACAAGAAATGCTTATTTATTTGTGGCTTATAACCTCGTTGGCTGATCACTCCAGACTCGTTCGTTAATGGTAAAAGTGGTAACACCAGGCCTTCGTCCGCTGTCCAAAATATTTTCTCCGGGTATGATAGATTACACTGTGTAGATTTTTAGCATGGGTTAATAGTTTCTCTTGTAGTTTTGTAATAAATGGCTGTCTCAACAACCTAATCACTAAAACGAAAGTACGCACAAATATTAAAATTATTAAGATATTACGCACATTTTGCTACACTAGTTAATAGAAATGTCTGCTCACTAAGCACAATGAACACTGTGTTTAGAGCATTTGTTAAGTCAGTTGCTGGTGTCTATCAGCAGACTGGCTTGACGTTTCTTTGCTGCCACTACTGAATGCCTTGACCCAAGACAATGTGTTTTATAAATGTGTTGTGTATAAAGAGTTTTCTGAAACTATTTGTTTAGTTTAACATTCATGGGCCTCTAAATACCTTTTTGTATTTTCAAACTTGGTTGCAAAACAGAAAATTTATGATTTTGAATATAACTATATCCAGAAGCAATATGTGGCAAAACGTAGCAACCGAAAAGGGGGAAAGTTGAACAGGTGTATTTGTTTACATCAGGATCATTCCAAGGCTGAATGCACATTAGCCAGCATAGTTTAATGAGAATAGACTGTGTGCGTGCATGCGTTTTTTTTCTTCTTCTTTTCTTTCTTTCCTCCAAATTACTTGGTATATAAGCCTGAAACAAGTCAACATTTACATTCTATATTTAATTGCTAATGATTATCCTGAAATAGTATATTTTTATAGTTTATTATTAGCCCTTTGTACACAAACTTTGTTATAAATTACTATTTGTTGAAATGTGTAAATTCGGCTTTGATCCATTGGTTTAATTATAGTTTTTTTATTATTATTATTATTACAGTAGCATAATTTGTTTTTTAATCCATTGCATCTATTTACACAACACATCTCTTCAGCCCTTTTGTAGGTCTGTGAAGTAGTGTATTAAGTAATATTGTGCATTTCTCATAGTTATATATTTTGTAAAGAAAAGTGTATAACTGTTAAAATATAAATTTTTATAAAATTAGATTTTTCTAAAATTTGATGTTTATAAAATGATTTAACTGGTTTATTTTATAATTTAATGGAAGAACTAACATTCACCAATGATGAAGTGATAAATGCAGCTAGTAAGAGAAGTTCAAATGTTGAGGAAGTGCCCAATTTGTAAAACTCTTTTAACTCCTGTTAACCTAGGATGTATGTCATGACGAATGCTCAGTATAATGCGCAATGTATAATAATTTGTTGGTGGTGATACAAAATTTTTGAGTTGATATTATTTGTTATTGATGTGAAATACTGTTGACCTGTGGATTTTGTTTTATGTACTTGTCAGTCATCAAATCAAAGAGCGAAAACCTATTTTAAAAAGTTAAAAATTAGTTTCTTAGCTGTTTATGTGTGTTACATAAATTATACTGATTTTTTAAAAAGGAAATTGCTAGTAATTTTATTGAGAATGTTCTATTGTCTTATATATTCAGTCCAGATATGTATTAGTTTTACATTGTAATACAAAAAAATGTCTTGCATGTAGGTATGGATGCTTCCATACAATTTAAGTATATGAATTGATATTTTTACTTCATAATGTAATTGTACTGTTTAGTTCATATTGTAGTATTTATAATGTAGATTTCTGTTTTGAAATGGTGCAAATGCGTTACTAAAATTAAGGGAAAGCATTTCCCACTTGACAACCTTTTGTGCAGTCTTTTATCCATTTGTTTTCTATTGGTTTTCATGGTGTCCATCTTTGACAGTTTTCAAGTTCAGTGGTAATTGAGCTTCGGTGATAGCTTTTATTTCTAGTTTTACTTTGAGAGTTAATACATTTATTTTTGAACTTGGTGTAATAAAATATTGGCGGAAGCCAAAAGAAACATATTTTATTCTTCGCTAGTGTAGGCTTCATGAATGCGAGGTTAAAGCATTCTGCTAGTTCTAAAGTTTCCAGTTTTTAATTGCAAATGTAACAGTAAGTGTAAAAAAATGTAGGGAAATGAGATTAATAATTAGTGTTTCAAAATTAATGAATGCTCTTGTATTTTTTAGGAATGCTTCCTCACAAGACAACACGAGGAAAGCAGGCTTTGAGGAGATTGAAAGCCTATGAAGGTTGTCCTCGTCCATATGACACAAGACGGCGTTTGTGTGTTCCTGGAGCAATGAGAGTGCTATGTCTTAAACCTGGCAGGAAGGTTTGTTCTTTAAATATTAATATTTTATATTGGGAAAGGGGTTGTAGTTATAATAAAAAGCATTGAATAAGTAAAGGTTTCTAGTGTAAATCAAGAATTGTTTCGAATGTTGTTTATGTTTGCAGTATTGTCGTGTTGGACGGTTATCTCATGAAGTGGGCTGGAAGTACAAGGATGTTGTCAATGGTTTGGAAAGAAAGAGGAAGCTCCGAACTGCTTTCGGCAAAAAGAGGCGTGCAAGTCTTAGGGTATGTATTTTTTTGATAACATGTCTATTCCTGATAAACTGTTTTGACATTGATATTCAGAATTCACTTGAACCAACTAAAATTAAGGTTTCAATTAAATGATGCATGATCAACTGAAAGAGCAGGCAAATTCCACTATTTCATTGTCTGGTATTGAAAGAAGGTATCACTTGGGCAATTGAACAGGTGTTTTGAATTTTGCTTAGAGGATTCATTTATGCATGATCTTTTACCCAGGGTAAATGTGAATCATGAGACTGTCGGCCTTGCTTACCTTCTGAAAACTTCTTTCGAAAAAAAATTTTTCACCATTAAAAATCCGTGGATTCTGAGTTGGAACTTGGTTATGAAAGTCCAAAACTCTAACCATTACCACTGAATCCGCATAGTAGCCTATGTAGCTGATCATTTGCATTTTTCTTTATGCAAATTTTTATACAAAATTTATTTGCATTTATCTATTGTTTCTAATTTATCGTCTTTGGTGCTAAGCTCCATGTGCCTTTGTACATCACAGAATGCTGAATCACTTGGCCCACTTCAGTTCCCTGTGGTCTAAATTCTTTTCTGGTGCGAGTTTGCATATGAAAGGGCAAATGGTGTAGCATATAAACTATATTTTATGAGTGCTTTTATGCATTACCAAACAGTTATATTCATAACAGTACAAAAATCGTAATTACATATAAAGTGTGAATTTATCATCAGTACTAGGACACATAGACAATTGAGACAAAACTGATTGCATGGGGCATTCACTTTTAGCAGAATGAATGTGAAACACACAGAGCAGACCACATGCAAACATTAAAACAGGTTTAACAAGCATTATATCTAATGTTGAGTGCAGCACATGGTCTGTGGATGAAACCAAGGATTGGTGTAGTCAATATATATATATATATATATATATATATATATATATATATATATACTCTAATAACCTGATCTTGAGTATTACCACCCTAACACCCTGCTTTTCCGGCAAGGAATCTTGATAAAAATCTTTTTCTTGTTTTTTAACCTGTCGATTAACTCTGCCCTTCTTCAGTGGCATTGTCATGCATTTTGCGTCTTCCTCGATCATGCTGCTAGACGTCACAACTGTATCAAGCAGTGCATGATATGGTCACGTTCAGGTGACATCTAGCGGCACGACCGAGAAAGACACGAAATTCCATGAGTTATTCCATCATGAAGACAGGCCCTGACGTGCCACCTTATAAAAACTGAAGTATAACCCACACTGCCATGTGATATGCTACAAGTTCGCTGTACGAACATTGACTCAAATATTATCCGCACCCCAATTTTCGGCTAGCAATTTTTAAAAAACCGTGCAGGTTATTTTAATATGTATACAGTATTCTAGCTGAGGTAAATAATAGACTACGTTCAAGGAACATTGTAATGTTATGATGACTGATTCAACACAAAAAGAACGCACTCCTTGTCAATCTGATACATCTACATCAAAAGAGGTATTTGTACGGGTACTGATGTTATTGGCTATTTCACTAGGTGTGGGTGATGCACATATCCAATTTTCTTCAGACAAAATTAAACTACTGATCTCAGGAATATGTTAGTATATCTGTGGTATATTGTTTTTAGTTTGTATTTTCTGTTTTTCATCTATTACATATTAGAATATTAAAATCACAAACTTTTCAAAAATGTTTCTCGGATAAATCACTTAACAAATAATGTTTCATTAGGTGATTTGGAATTAGAGCAAAACCTTCTCTCCAAATTATTTAAATGGCTATTTGTTTTCTAGATATGTATACAAATATTCATGAACATTCTTTAAAAATATTACATTAAATAACGAATCATAATAAATCATTACATTACATAACAAAAAAATACATTTTCTTTATGGTGTTAGGTGAATACAGTAGGCTACAAATTTCACACAAATAATCGTGAATGACACTTTAAATTAAATGCTAACCTCCATACTGCGAAACATATTTCACCAAGAACAGCAAATCGAAATGGAGAAAATTCGAAAGTATAGCAATTGTGTCCGCTAAAATAAAATATCTTGAGACGCGAAACACACTCGGAACACTAAAGGAACTCGTGAACGTAACCAACGACAATATGATTCACTCTTGCACTATGTGGAAAACGCAAGCAGGTTGGATGTGACATACAAAAAACAAGAGAAAACCACTAACCAATCATAGATTGATATTCTTTCAACTAGCGTTCCAGGTGGCCTGGCAGTGTTTTGCCAATTTCCGTATCTCACCTTCACCCCTGTGGGTGATACTACATAAATAGCAGAAAGTAAGGTCTAAAGCATTTATTACAGAAACCAAATAGAAGGAAGTCTGAAATCAGGGCTCAAGCTGAACTTAAAAAGAATATCCTAATAACAGGACAAGAAGACTGAATACAAGTAAATGCTGAACAGTTAAAATCTGTAAATAAGGGGAAGGTTTTGGGAGTAACAAAAGATAGATGCACTTGAGGTAAAAAATGAAATTATTTTGGGAAAGGCAGCCATGAAAAGTGTAACAATCATTCATTAAAGACTGAGGGTTATCAATGAAGACTAAAGTCATGCTAATACAAACTTGTAAATTACGGATGTGAAAGTTGGACTTCAAGGTCAACAATAGATGCCTTTGAAATGTGATGCTGGAGGAAACTACTGAAAATACTGAAAATCTGTTGGGCAGATAAAAGAATAAATCCGTAAGAAGTGAAGCCTGAATGCTTGTTAGAAGCCAGAGCCTTCAAACAAAAAACATGTTCGTTGGTCATATTGTAAGAAGATAGGGCTCCTTGGAGAAAGACATTCTAGGAAACACAGAAAATGTGATGGCAAGAGGAAATAAAAAAAGCTACCAAGCTGGGGGGGCTGAGGGGAGTAAATAAGCAAGAAAAATGCATAACTGAAACTGAAAATGTACGTGCAATAAAAACTTTTTTGACTATACTCTTGACTAATAAAATTACTTGCTCATATCATATTATATTCCAATACACAACATTTTCAGGAAAGAAAGTTCTCACTCTTTAGGAGAGTGATATTAAACCATTTGCTTTTCTCTGCTCCTAAAGGATAAATTTCCCCAGTCACATTGTGAAAATGACCCCTTAATCACCCACTTTCTTTGATTCCCAAGTATTTCATTCAAATAGGCCAGACTTTTTCCGTGCAATGTTGGTTAACATTATGCAAAGTTGTACTGGCATTACGTGAATATTACACAGACCATAGGGTTACTGGTGAGCATTAGCGTCTTTATTCTTTCACCTTGTGGTTTTTTAAGTCTCCACAGTTCCTATTGGGTTCCACTGGAGGGCTGATGGCCTATCATAAAAACAAAACCACCTGATCACTGAACCTAACAGATTCCTTGTGCTCCTCTAGGATGTAATCGTTCACATGTACTTGTCATCTCCATTGGTATGTGTTCAGTTGTCCATTTTTATTATGGATGTATAAGCATTAGAAACAAATAAACATAAAAAGCAAATCTTAAATTTGACATAGGGGCTTCTACCACTGAAGCTGTTAATGTTTGTAACTGGTGAAGTAAGACTTCAAGAAATTTGCAATAAAATAGATTTCTTTTGGGGTTATTTATTTTAGAGTAGAATTTGTTTTAGACTAAAATTTCCCTTATGAATCATTGGACTGTTATAAAAGGTAATGGTTGTTGTTTAGAAAGCCGGGCTTTTTAATGTGATTTATTGAAATGGGAGTTTTGTCCATCTTGAAATCATGGTTAAACTTCTTGATCTAGTGATTGCTTTCTGCCACTGTGGTCCATGTTCTCATCCTCCTCTGATTACTGTCATTCTTCTTTCTTCCTTCCCTCTGCATTGATGTGTACTTCAGAGCTTTGGGTAATCACAAACTTGTTTTAAAAAGTGAAAACTGAATATTGATTTTCAGTTATAATGCATCTCAACATCAATATTGAAGTAATTTACCACTAAAGTCATCTTGATAACAATATTATTTGATTTAAGCATGCTAATAATAATAGTAATAATCATAGACTTTCCTGTTTGGTGGGATGTGTGCAAATTAGAGGTAGTCATAGTGCACAAAGGTGCTGACATGCATGCCCCTTTTCACTTCACTTGTAATGTAATGCTACTTGTTCCATCTTGCGTCCCATTTTGATGGGTTAAGGCAACATCAAGGAATGAAGAAGGCTAACGTCGACAGTGAATTTTAACTGTTTTTACTGCTTGAAGGAATATTAGTTATTCAGATTAGATCTGTCAATAAAACACAATAACAATTACCAATTTTTTTTTAACAGCAGGTCAAATTACTAATAATTTTATCTGTACTTGGTTTTACTCCCATTAGTAACTGAAGTTTTAATGAACATTTTGTGATATTTATAAAAAAAGTTGATCTAGTGTATGAATTAATATTAATGATTTATTATTTTCCTTTGCAGAGGATTACAGACAGAGCTGGAGAACTGGTGGCACCAAAAATTAAAAAATTCGAGAAAATTATAGAGTCTTACGGAAAGTGATACTTTTATTGTGTTGTAATGAAATAAAGCATTTGGTATTACTGGTATTGCTTTGTTATTCATCTCCTCACTATAATTGTTAGATATCCAATGCAAAAAGTAATTGTTTAGATTGCAATTATGTTGCAGAGATAATTTTCCACAAGGCATTTGCGAGGAGTTTTTGACAGTTCAACCCCTGCCCTAGTAAATGGCTGTTTCAGCCTTCTTTTCTCTTACTTTATGAAATTTTGCTAGGCACATGGTATCATCTATGCGAGAATGCTCTATTCTTGAACAATTAGGGAATTCATAGAAAAAATATTTTATGGCTGGGTAATTTTTTAGGGAAATGTAAAACTTAAGTTCAGCATTATTTTTGACCTATTTTCTTAGATATTGTTTATATCTTCACCTAAGACAATATTATTAAGTTTTTACAGTTCTTGACTTGATGTCAAGATTTTCAATATTACAAAAAAAACCTTTTTCACAACCATCACAATTAGGAATTTTAATATAATTTAATAAAGCTCCCAATTTGTGAATTATGGTAAAAACAGTTAATAGGGTATTTCCCGTAAAAATTGTTACACAAATATTACTGAAGAACATTAGTCCTGTTGGCAGAGGTGGTTAAGAGTACTCGCTCTCTACTTCGGTCTGAAGGGTCTTGGTTTCAAGACCCACCTTGGCATGGTTGTTTGTCCTTTCTCTCATATGTTGTCGTGGAGGGTTTCGTGTTGTGTTGATGCCATGTCAGAGGAGCTCGCAAATGAGTTGGTGTCTAGTGTATCGTCGAATGTGTAAAGGGTAACTGGCTGTCAGGTGAAAAAGCCCTGACAATCTTGTTTTGATAATTCCTTTTATTGCCCACTTCAGGAGCTCAGGGGGAAAAAGGAAATACATTTTAACAAACTGATGTACAAAAGTTAAAATGTTCATGCACATAGTACCTAGAATTGTGAAAAAATACTTTTTATCTCTCTCTCTCTCTTATATATATATATAGATATAGATATAGATAGATAGATATAGAGAGAGAGAGACACACACACACATATACACAAATATAAAAATTAAAGGATATACCGGAATGAAGGATCAGTGGTATTGTGACATCAATTTCATTACAAGTTGTCAAAGATGTGTAAATTATAATTGCATTAACTTCTATTAAATACTTCAGTATGGATTGTGAAAAGAAAAGTACAAATGGAAATGATAAAACAGCTTGACTTTTTATATCCTTGCTACTTACGTAGTATAAAGTGTGTTATGCAAATTTGTTTTCAGGAAAAAAATAGTATTGCAGATCCACAATATAAAGTGGATAATTCTCATTCTTGTATATAGTAAATTACTTCCCAATTTACACAATTTGGCTGCCTTTTTTACTTGTGTTAATTTTTATTTCTGTACATATATATTAATTTCTTTTGTAAATGAACAATTTACATGTTTGTGGAGTATTTATATTCTTTTGCAATGCAAATTTTTGCATAGAAAGAACCAACTTTTTTGAGTGCTTATTGTAGCTGTCATTCAGAATATTCAACGAGTGTATTAGACAAAATATTCTTACAATTGTCTTAAAAGAGTTTATTTTGGACGTTTCCTCCCAAACAGCCTGTTAGGTTCAAGTAGTTAATATTTACATAATGGTCATGTTTATACATTCTTGAATACTGTGAGTAGAAGTGCTGCAAATACGCTCTTATGTTTCTCGAACCTTTTGTGAAGAAGTAGAATATTCTAAATAATGTACTCTAGTGCATGGATTCCCTACCGTTTTGTTTGATCAACTTCTTTTAAAAGAATTGCTTCATTGACTCTTTACCGCTTTTCTTTAAAATATGCAGAATACATAATATAAAGAATTGTACATAAATGCCTTGAAGGAAATTTCGTACACCAATATTTCCCAAATATCTTGATTTTCAGTAATTGAAAACAGTATATTTGTGGCGGAATTTCGTATCTTCAGTGGTGTCCAGGAGTCAAAAAATGTTAAGCTTGATGTTTATTTTTTTAAGAACTAGTCACAAAACGTCTCCTTGCAAGTTGTAGAGAGAATTTTCTTGGGCAATAGAGTAACACTGTGTATACATTTATAATTTCTTGAGTTTTCCAAACATTTTACAAAAGAAATAATGAAGGACTCAAAGAAGAGAAGTTAATTTGTAATTTATTATTATATGAGTTGTGTTATACCAGGAAACAATTATCATATCCATTTACAGATATTTTTGAAATAAAAGGGTACTTTACGTAGAGAATATTAATTTATATAGCGAATAAAAAAATTAGATTAATAAAAAGTATTATATTCAATAAAACATAAAAACGTGATGTTAAGGGATGGTTCTCCCCTTTTAAAATGAGCAAAAATGTAGATTTTATCATTTTTTTCTAAATATGCAATTAGCTGGGAACAAGTATTCATAGTTTGATACATAGTTATTACAGACAACATTACGTGAGTTACTCTTTTCTTAAAAGTATGATTCTACAAGGACTATCCTAAGAGTAGATAATCTTCTCCCCCGTGTTACATTGTTTTTTTTTACTAAATAAATAAATAAATAAATCAGATTACTCGCAAAAGAAAAAGTAGTTTTTAATATGTTGAGAGACAATTGACAATTTTTCAAAGTATAGGGATAAAGATTTTTTATTCAATATATGTTAGTGGTTAAAAATTCCTGCCTATAAGTGATATTCCATTAAGGAACATTGATTACAAACAAAAAAAAATGAAAATACCTGAGTCAACTTATGTGTATAATTAAGACAATCATATCAAAATACATACTTGACTGGTTTTTAATATTTTTCAATATGTGCCTCTACTTCAAGAATTCCAGGTTAAAAATAGCTCTTCCATTTATATTAGATAATTTTTTCAACTTTATTCTACGCTAAAAAATTACTCCAAATAAATAGTTTTTACTTTCAATTAGGATCCAAGAAACTTTTGAATCTTCAGATGATAAATGTTCTTTTTATTGTGAGAATCAGGGCCGGATTTACCTACAAGCAAAACAAAGTTCCTTAAGGGCCCGCGTTTCGGAAAAATACGCATAACATTATTTTTTGTCTGTGAAATAATTGTTAATCAAGTAGTCTACTGTGTAACAAAATGTACAATTTCTAATATCCTGATTATTAGCATGCTAATTGAGAATCTTTCGTTTTGAAGACATCATCGACCAAGTCGACTTTACCCTCTGAGTAAGAGCAGAAAAAAAATTATGAAAATGATTTATAGTAACACAAGTAAAAATTTCTATAAAAATTATCAGTTTTCATGTTGTATCTGTACAGAAAGTACTTGTACTATAATACATTTTTTATTTAATAAAGATGGAGCTATTTTTTCAGGGTGGCTCAAAACAATTTTGTGCTTAGGGCCCTGCACTACTTAAATCCGGCCCTGGTGGGAATAAAAGTTAAAAAATATTTTCATTAAACAGGATTTTAGAGGGAGTTGACATTTGGAACTGCATGACAACTAGTATTTTATTATCTACATTTATAAACAGTATTCAAGTGTCCAGATATTACATGTGGAGGCATTATTTTTACTATCAAAGGCATTGGAGGGTTTATGCCAATACATTTTAAATTGTACCACATGGAGGAGAATTCTGAGATTATATGTTGTGGATTCCATACCAAGATGTCTGAGAAAATGTTAACAATTCACCAAGCAATAATTTTAAGAAAAGCAATCTTAACGGTTCATTTTGAAAACATCTGCTTGCTGATTAGGTGTCACAAAACAGGTCATTATGGGGTGAATACCAAAATAATGTATTGCAGTCAACAAATGGGAAATAGGAGTAGGTAAGGAATGAATATAAGCTCAATTTATTCACAAGTTGTAGAAAAAATATATTTAGACATCCATTTATCTTGACACTTAAATATTCAAACTTATAATTACTTTAAATTTTACAATTACATCATAAGTTCTCTTCTAAGTTATGCTCCTGAACAATGATGCTATACAAAAAAGTGACAATAAAAATTCTAATCCATAGAAAGTTAACTGTATCACACACAAAAGCATATCTATCTTCAGGACATATGTTTGCCACACTAAATAGTAAACAACACCCAAAGTAGAAGGAGCTGTAAAAATGACAAATAGCACAAGGAAAAGTGTTTTTTGCAAAAGATTTCCTTTAAGACCTAAAAGTATTCTTGCACCTTCTACCCCACTCAGAAATAAAAGCAGCAATAGTTCTGATACAATATTACCTGCAGGATAGGGCAAGGCAATACTTTTTGTCACACACATTGCAAACTCCAACACAGCAAATATGCCAAAATAAAATGAATTTAAATACAGTACTACAACAAACAGAAAAGTACAATCAAACATGTCTTGAAGTTTCAAATGAAAACTTTTAATTGCTCTCTTAATAAATTCTTTGACTGTCGTTTGATCAAATTTTTCAATAAAACATGCATCGATTCCTCGAGCTTCACCTCCTCAGCGATGCCTCAGAGCCGCACATGGTTGCCATGGCAACAACTATTGGGATGACTACAGTCCTATTTAACCTGAGTGGCATTTCAAAGTCAGCTGGAAGGAGTGGGACACATCATCTAATCGGGACCGTCAATGCAAAACATTTTAGCCGTAACGAAACTTCCGATTGGATTAAAGTTTCCCTCCGCCGCCCCCTCGCGATATTAATGTGCCATTCTGTTTAAATTAGAGTGTGGCAAACTATACCAAGAGCGCTGAGAGAAGGGGTCCTTTTAGCTCTCTTGTACTTCCAACTAAACGTAGGGTCCCTTCATTGTCATGACCTGCAACGAGAGGGGGACATACTCATTCAATCGTTACGACGGATTTTTTTTATATAGAAGCTTCCGATTGGATGACTGTCTCCTTCAACTTCCACCTCGTGACAGTGAAGGGAAACTAGATTTTAATCTGAGTATATGTGTTACATCTCGTGATTACACTCCAATTTTAGTGACTTCTGACGTTTCATGAGCTGGACGCGGATTTCCAATCGCGAACTCAATTCCGACTTAATTTTTGGGATTG